CTGAAAGAGAACAGAGAAGTCCAGTCACAGAGAAGTCCGGTGCAGTTTCTGTGCTCTGTGGACACCTTTGTACGAATGCTGCAGATAGCACAATACAGTCAAACATCTACTTAAAACTGTCTTTTGAATTCAAAGGCAATTTTCCCTTTCAGTGTTCAGAAACAGTTCCCTGGATCATCTCTGTCATCTCGTAACCAATTCAGGGCTGACATGCTCAGAAGGCTCAGAGCAGGAGAAAAGTTTTCCCTGAGAGAACCTCTATTAATTTGCAGTTGTGCTTCTGCTTCTTGCCCAAGTCAGAATCTGGTTAAAGTTCACATGCTGGAAGATTTTTTCCCCTTTCCCTAAACTCCCCATCACAGGGAGACCTAGCTTCCCCCTGCAGCTGGTCATAAATGGAGACCAGGCGCTGGCACTCTGCTTTCACAAGGTATTGTTAGGTCAGCAAAGCCATCAATTAGGCTGTCTGAAGTTTTATCACCAACACAGCAGTAATAAGTGCTGGCCAGAAAGACTTCTGCTCTTCGGCAACTCCTGCAGTTTAAGCCTGTAAAGTTAGGGGTCATTGAGAGGTCAGTGCCAGCTGGGGGCGGCCCTTCCAGTCTAAGCTGGGACACCAGGGCAGGGATAAGGTAACTGCCAGCCGTAAACCCAGCCACCTTTCAACCCACTAGAAAGGCAGAGCCTCAGGTACACATGGTTGAGATTAGAGACCAAGAAACGTTTTCAAATCAGGTGGTGGCTGAATCACAGGAATGTAAAGGGAGAAGCAGTTATTTCGTCTAGAAGCCTGGATCTAATTTTGTTGGAAATCCAAAAATAAGTGCCTACTTCATGTTACTTTAATGTTTAATAATGCCCATCAAATATTCATGTACAAACAGAGTAACATGATAAGAAATCTCCTTTATTTCTCCAAATTTAATAAAAACAAAACAATTTTCTACCATTTGCGAGTTACCCTTGTTCCTGTGCATTTAATGACGTGCATGGCCCACACATCTGAGCTGATGCGCACGACCTACGGGCTGTGCATTTTAGGGGGGCTTAGGGAGGCAGGAGGATGCCTGGCATCGAGATAGCTGTTCCTTAAAAATACACTCATTTATAACATTTCCCCATATTTCCAGTTGCAAATTAAGTGCAGGACTTAATGATAAATGAATGAATCTGTGCAGGGCCACAGGCGGGAAATGGAAACTCATTCTTTGAGATCAGCCAGAAAAATTCTAGTGTGTGTTGGCAGCTCTGCATTCCTGCAGAGCTGAAGTCCCTAGTTGAAGTCCCTTTCAAGGACGACAGCAGCCCACACTTGTTCAGGCCTCCTGTGAGCACTTGGAAGGGGAATACAATTAGGCTGAAGAATAATAGATGCAAGAAAACCAAAGGAGTCTTTTGCATATGGTGTCTGTTTGCAAAACAAAACAATGGACTCCTTTATTACTTCAAGTATAGCTCAGGTGTCAAAAATGTTACACGCCGCTCAGGTTTGGGGAAGAACATGGCAGGCTCTGAGAGGCAAAAACAAAAGGAGCATTGCAACTGCACATTTATTCCCACCTGGCACCCTGAGTGTTACTGAGAAATAGCTGACCAGATAGATCACAAAGCCTTCCAAAAGCATCTGTTCAGTCAGAAAAAGAATTTAAAGTTACCTACTCTTTCTCCACTGCTTTTACCTAGGCCCAAGGAGGACTGACCTGAGATTTCCATCCCCAGGAATTCTTTTTTATCAGCTGAGGTTAAGACCCAATTGAGATGCTCAGGAGAGTCAGAGAAACCTTCTCTCTCCTCCTTGAAGTTTCTAACGAGGATAGGAGGATACACCGTGTGGGTGTCACTTCCTTTTAGGTGCTGCTAATCCCGGTTTTGTTTTTCCCTATAGGCCCACTCTTTAGGTAAAATGAATTGCTATTTTTTCCCTTTTTAATTTCACCCTTTTACTCTTTTATTATTTACATCTGGAGATTGTTCCTTTATTTATGTCTTTCTCTCTAGTTGCCCCAAACGCTCCCTTGCTCACAGAGCTGCAAGGCATCATGGTTCTTAGTTCTCAGCAGGAGAACTCTACACTGTCTTCAAACAAATAATTATGGGGAAGGTTAGAGGTTCACTCAAAGGTCATTTCTTTGGATACTCGTCAGAATGTTTACATTAGTAAAAACGGGGTCCGTTCAAAAGGCTGTTCAATGGGAGATACACAACAATGCAGAACATTAAAAAAGCATTCTGTGTGCTAGCAGGTCTGTATAGAAGTGCTGAACTTGGAAATGCCACTCCAGTATTATATTTTCAACTAGTTACCATGGCATGGACTGGATGTTCACTAGCAGTTAGGGCGATGGCCTTTCTTCGCTCAGTTCTACTAAGCAAATATGCATAGATGCCTCTAAAGATTTTCACTAGATCCTTTCACACAGGATCATAGAGACTGTGCTTTTTTTCACTTGGGTTCCATTTCGTTTCTCTGAATTTTTGTTATTAAACAATGTTTTTGATCCACAGTGTTATATCTTGCCACATTTATAATTCTACTACATTATTTCAAATCACACATCATTTTAAAAACATATGGGCCCCAATTTTTCAGAAATCTCTTAATATACCACTCCTGCCAATTGTCAACTCCCCTGACCTTGGGATATCTTATAAACACCACCAATGTTATTAAAATAAACGAGTTTACTATAAGAAAACTTTAACACTACAACATGAAATTACCCCATTGTCTGTATGATCCACAGGCCACTCCAAGCAAACATACTAATGTACATAAAATGAAGGTATTTAATTATAGATTAAAAAATCAAACTAGGAGTAATTTTTATTTCTTTAATATTACTAAGAGGAAATTTCCAAATACGGTCTTCCCCCAAAATTACATGACATGAACATTTTTTCCAGTTCCTCTGATCTGTATTTTAAAATGACCTTATGCAGTATTCACGCAGTAAACAGAATATTGTTTTGATTTTACTTAAAATTTGAAGGGTCCAAGTTGAAACCAACTGATCTTCAATCTTTCAAGGTACAAGCTCCATTCATATGGAAAAGTGCAACTTACTGGTTCAAAGACAAAAGCTTTGTCTTAAAAAGGCTCAAAAGGTTTCTTGGATATTAAATGGGTCTTACAAAATAACATTTTGATGAGTTAAGTGTAAATGAATCAGACACATATGGATTAAGTTATCCTTGAATTTCACACGGGTTTAAAAAATAAGGGGAAAAGAGGGTCTTGGCAAAAACATTTTGGACTTTGCCAAACCCAAAACATTTGAAAAATTGCTGAAGACATCCAACTAACCAAAATTCAGCAAGCTGCACCCAACTTTAATGAAAATCCCCACAAGTTATTTCCAATCCAAAGATTGTTAAGTTTTTCATCTGTATTTCATATTAAAAAAATTCTCTAAGTTTTAATGTCATCCCAGAATGGTTTTGAAGTTGAGGACATATAATATATTTCTCTATATTGGTACAAAAAATTTAACCTGAAATTACAAAGTCTTCTTAGATATTGAATAGCTCTTAAAAACATTCTGAGGTTTGTATAACTTGAGTGTAAAATGTGCCATGTATGATAAATGCCATAAGTAAAATGTGCTAGTAAGCCTAGTGCCTCATCCAGATTTCACTTAGAAAAAAAATTTCATTAGCTTCATTGTGACTTTTTTTAAGGGCTACAGATAATTCCATTAGTGACTCCGCAGGGAATGAGTACCCTAAAGTCCACTAGTTCCATTGATTTGTATTGAACACAAAGTTAGTATCCAGCCTCACACAAAAGCTCTGGAGAGTATAGACTAAGACTATCTACTTTCTCACTAAATTTTACTAAAATAGAAAATACATTAGTATGTGTGATTCTTAGAAATTATATACTAAGACTGTTAGCTTAAAAATAACTTAATTATAGAAATAAATTCAAAGATTCTCCAAGAATCATGAGGCCTTTCTAAGTCAACTTAGAGATGGAAAAAATAATACATTAAAAGAATAAACTCAAGAGAGCAAAATGTCATTGAAATCTTCTCTTGGCAGTCTTGTTGGAGAAATGTCTCCTGGAGATCTTCCCCCATCCCAACCCCCAGCCCCGACTCAGCCCCCGACAGCAGAGCCAAAGTTTTCAGTTTTACATACTTTTCTGCAACTGAAATCTGACCATCTTAATTTTTCCTTTAAAGGTTATTCACGCCCAAGCATATTTCAGATTGATAGAAGCAGGCTTACGTGTCATTCCTGATTGTTAATGCTTTCCTTTCTTCCCCCACTACCTCCTCCTCCAGCAGCCCCCTTTTAAATGGCAGACAAATCCCTTCTTTCTGGTTCGCTAACTTCATACCACACCTGGCAACCAACCCCTTTCGGCAGCACTCCTTTTGTTAGAAAGTAGAAAGTGCAGGCCTCCATGGAATCACCTGGAAAGCCGTCAGCCCTGAGCGTTGTCAGGAAGGCTCACGAGTCCCTGGCATTGAAGCTTTCGCATGGATTGTCTGGTCCAGGATGAGGCTTGATCTGCTGAAGAGGGGTCAGATCAATTTGGAAGAGAGGTTGTCCGCAGCTTAGGGAAGGGGGACCTGTTAAGAAATGAAAAACCTGCCTCTCCACTCTCCCCATCCGTGGCACTCAGAGTGAGGGGGTTTATTCCCAAAATAATAATTGAGTCATGCTTTTGCAATTGTTAAGTTCTTCACTGGTGGCCAGACAATGGGTCTTTTTTCACATACCGCTGTGAGCAAAGTAAGGTAAATGAGTAAGATTCATGGGCTATTTAGGGCCACAATCACAGTTCATAATTAATTCCCCTGAGCTACAGCTTAATTTATGATTTGACAGGTACTAGATTTATCTAGAACTCTAAAAACACATGAAACAATACTCATAAATTTACAATATGAAGACCTAATATTAATCTGGGGTCACAAACATTATGTAGCTTTATAAATATGCCTGGAGTAGTGGGGTGTTCATGCTGACATGAAAGGCTCTAGACAAAATTA